TGCCACGATCAATCTCAGCAACGCCAAGCGTTTGATTGACGATCGCCGAGCTCTTGTCGAAAAGGAGACGCTCGGTAAGGGTGGCCGCCGTCGCCGATCCGCCTTCGCCGAAGAGGAGGAAGGCTACATGTTTGTTGAGGAGGGCTTCCGCATCCGCTTCAACAATGGCGAGGTCATTGACTTTTATGCCGATACAGCCGCAGACAAGGAAGGCTGGATGAAGGCACTGAGTGACGTGGTCGGGCGCGGCGAGTCGGGCTCCGACGATGATGTCAGCCGCAGCAAGCTGAAGGGCAAGTGGTGCGACCTCATCCTTAAGCGCGAGGAGGCGATCAAGAAGCGTGCCGAGAGCGGCGGTCGTCGTACGCACTCGAGGACGAAGAGCACGTACAACTAAGCCTCCCCTCGGTGGTTGCGCCTTCCTTCACTTCATCCTTCTTCACGACTTGGCACGACTGACATGATCCCGGCTTCGGGACGAGATTGCGATGATTAAAGGGGAACATGATCTGATGACTACAGACAAGCGGTCATCTCACGGGTCAGCGGCGCCCTGTCCCTTTTCTGGGGATCATCGTGCTCGGCCGAACCCTTGAAACTAAACAAAAACCAACGACGCCTCGCGCGCGGTGCTCTCTTCATTTTACTTTGTTTAATCGTTTTTTTTTCTTCCTGTTTCTTCTTTCCTGGTATGTTAGGACAGGGCGTTCGGGGGGCGTTCCGGCATGGCTCATGGATGAGGAAAGGGATGGAAGCGGTGTGGCGCCGGGGGGAAGACGGACGGATGTCTTTCCTTCCGTTCGGCTTTGGGTCATTGTAAAAAAAGGAAAACTACATATTCCTGTCACTTGCTAGCCAATGCAGAGTGTGAATGTATGCAGTTGACTGCTTTACTCTGAGGTGTGTGTGTGTGTGTCTATGTGTCTATGTGTCTATGTGTCTATGTGTCTATCCCGACGGCCTTGATGGTTGTGTGCGAGATCAGCACGAGAGCACGCTCTGACGAGGCTGTTCCGGCAAGGGTGGCCCGGGACGGTTCAGCAGAGGACTCAGCTGGTCGTTGTCGGGGACAGGCTGTGAGAGCCGTTTCGTCGCAGGTACGCTGACGATTATTCTCGTTTGATTGCCTAGAACAACAGCACGGAGAAACTTATCTTTCAGACTACAGCCTACAGCCTCGTCTTCCGCCAGCGGCAAGCCACCAAACTCGAGAGGGGGGGGGGGGCAGGGCGGAAATAACAGCCTGAACAGAGGGTCAAGCGGGCAGCCTTTCCAAGAGCAAACACATCCAGAACAAGAGGTTCAGGCTCATCACATTGTCTAGAGCGCCACAGTCGTTCGGCACCGAACCACGGGTCACGACATGACAAGAACATCAAGGGCACGCACGCAGCACAGAGGGAGACGTTGGGGTCGTAGATGAAACTGACTTGCTTGCTATCCAGTTCGAGATGGCCGTTTTTTGTTTTCGAAGGTCCGACGTCACCGAGCCACTCCAATACACTATCAAGTCGCCGAACACCGTCCCGATCGCGTCGTAAATAAGCCTGCACTCGGAAACATGATCTTTACTCCTCCCGGTAGGCCTCGAGCTCGAGCTCGAGCTGCCGGATGCGCTCGCTCTGGTCCTGGGAGCCGCCGCTTGGCGCGTTGATCTTGCGCTTGAGGCTGTCGACCTCGGAGGCTAGGTGTGTGATGATCTTGGTCTGCTGCTCCAGAAGCTGCTTGATTTCGGCCAGCTGTGTGTTGCCGGACGACGAGGTGGCGGCATCTGCGGGGCTCGCGGACGCAACTGGTGCCGCAGCAGGGCTCGGGGCGGGGGCGGAGAAGGTCTTGGTAGGAGGCGGCTGCGACGCGACTGGTGACCTGGCCGGCGGGGAGGCGGGTTTGGCCTGCGCAGCCGGCGTGCTGACGTTGGCGGGGGGCTGGGGCTTGGCCTGCTCGGACCGGATGGGAACATTGGTGCGCGGCTGGGGTCTCTGGACCTGCTCGAAGCTCGAGTCATCGTCGTCGCTGCTCTCCTCAGCGGGCTCGTTGTCCTTGAACTTGTTGGCCATGTTAGACATGGAGTTCTGCTGCTCCTTCATAGAAGGAGGCGGCGATCGACCGGCAGGCTGCGCAGGCTCGGGCTCCTTCTTAGGCTCAGGCTTCGGCGCAGGCGTCGCGGCGACGGGTGCCGCGGTGGGCTTGTAGTCAGAGGCAACCTCCTTGGGCGCATTGCCCTCGTAGATGCTCTCCAGGTCAATCTTGGAGGGGATGCCGTCCTTGCCATCAATCCACTCCTTGGAAGAGACGGCAGGTTTGCTGCCGAAAGCGGGAGGGAAAATGTCCGACTGGAAAGTCTCGGCCCTGCGGGGAACGGTGAAAGAGATGGGTTCAATGTAGGAGTCATTGACCGTCTTGTATGCGCGCATGACCTCGTTCTCGTGGACCTGAAGAGGATTAGACAAGTCCGTTGACGCTCGATGAACTACTCACGTTGATACCACGCCTGGGAACAAAGGCAATGCCGCGCTGGGGCTCAAGAGACTTGTACTCGCTGAGGAACTCGAACTTGTCGTTCTGGTACTCAAAGTAGCGAATGTTGCCATCACTGTGGACGTCGTCAGCATGCGGGGATTGGTCACGTAGACGGCGGAACTTACCCCTTGCCGGCAAGGTACAGGCAGTTGGAGCCATCGTCCCAGAAAGGCATGCAGACACCCGAGATGGAGTCAAGCATGGTGAAGCCGCCAATGGGGTCATCACGACCAGGCTCCCACAGGGCAATTTGACGCTCGCTCATACGCGAGAAGCCCGTGGTGGCGAAGCGGTTGTGTTCACCCAGCCAGACAGTCCTGCTGTTCTTGGCGCCGGCGTGGCCGGGCGCCTCGTGAACGGGGCGCTCTTGACGCACATCCCAGACGCGGATCTTCTTGTCGCGGGAGGTCGTCACGAGCTGGGAGCCGGCGGCGTTCCACGACAAGCTCTGGACAATGTCGCCATGCTGCAGGGTGTGGGTGTTCTGGCCAGTGCTGATGTCCCACAGCTTGATGGTGAAGTCGCCAGAGGCGGAGGCCAGGATGTTGTCGGCAGCGGGGTTGAAGAGGACCTGGCCGACCTTCCTCGAGTGGCCGCCAAGCTTGCTCACGGGGGAGACGTCGGCGGGCTCTTCGGCATCGGTGTAGAGGGTGAAGTTATCGGGGACCTGCCAAATGAAGACCTTGCCGTCTTCGGAAGCAGAGGCGATGATGCGATCGTTGAAGGGGTTCCTGTGGAATCAAAGTCAGACATCAGCAGTGCGCCCAGGTCGCGTGCGCGTGTGCGTGCGCCTGAGAGGGGAGGGGTGCGCAGTACCAGTCGGTGTCAAGGACGGTGGCCGTGTGGCCGCGGAACAGGGGAATCTGGTCAGGCAGCTTGCCCTTCTCCTCGAGGGGAATGACGGCGAAAGCGCCGCCACCGCCGGCATCCCAATTGACCGAGAGGTATTCGGGGTTGGCCTGGGCAGACGGTCCTGGTCAGCAAGGCATTCAAGTGCTACGAGGCGACAAGCGCGCTCGTCAGCGCAACGGCATCGTACCTTGACTAGGTTCGTATCCCAGGCATTTCGGCTAATATGAAGGTTGTCATAGCAGAATTCCTTCCGGGTCGGCTTGCCAAAGACGTGTCCTGGTTCAGGCATGGAGCCTAGGTCAGCTTGCGACGGAGAGACGACACAGCGCATGATAGAGAGGGGAGGGAAGACCAACGGTACTTCGACGCTCGGACGAAGCGGCCTGCCATCGGATCGGTGTTGTGATGGCGTAGTGCTAGAAGAAGCTCGGATGTGTGCCCAGGGGCTGTGGGATGGAAGTCCGAGGGCTGGGCGGAGAGCTGTTACTGGAGTTGTCACGATACAGGAAAGCGTTCGAGGCCGTGGTGGTTGGCAACTAAGGTTAAGGTAGCCTGGCTTGCCTGGCAAGCCTGGCAAGCCTGGGTAGGTACCTGTGGTGCTCCTGACCCTGCTCCTCCTGTTCGGCTGGTACCCAGCGACTGCCCCCCAGTTGTCGACAAGTCGATTAGCAGGAGCAGGCGGGCAGATGCCCCACTATTAGTCTCCAGCGGAGGCCGGCCCACTGAAACCAAGTGCCCAGCTGCGCCACGAGGCCTGATAGGACAGGGATGCTCCTATATCATGCCATATGGGTTGCATCACGTGATGAGTGCCTTCACACGAGCGAGCTCGAAATGGCTTCAGACCTCCTACTTCGGTACTGTCCGATGGTGTTTTCCTTCCAGACACCAGACCAAAGACAACGTCGTTGCACCCAGTGCTCGAGTCATCTAATCACGACCACGATGGGAGCTGTCCTAGAAAGACGACTCCCAACGCTGCAAACGAGCCAGACACACACTGCGCCTATATTGAGATTCGTCAACCTTCAAAGCGACGTCAGCTCCAGAAGGCTGTGGCAATCTGGCGAACTTCACTTCGATCGCAGTTCGTCTGGCTTAGTGTCTGGCCGGCCGTACACAATGTAGTTCAATGCAGTTGCTTCCGCGTCAGTGAGAGTCGACCTTCCAAGCAAGACCAGATACAAATAGGAAAGTCGGGCGGAGAGCCGCTACTCGCCTCCATCATGAGTATACCATGTTCGTTACCCAGTTCCTTCACCGCAAGGGCTGTGTGCTCATCAGAGGCGATTCCAGCCATGCTTACTCGGAAAGCCAAAAGATCTGGTTACCCGAACGCTGCCCCCTGGTTTCGTCAGGAGCCAGGAGATCGCCAGTCATCACTAACCACAGCCGAGCTTTGATGCATTCGCTTCGTCTTCGGACATGGATGAACGATTCATTCTTCAACTCTCTGTGGTACATCGATCGTAACTACTACGCGGCAATGGATCTAATCCTCAAGAACTGGTATCCAGGATCAAAGTAACCACAGCTGACGAGAACCAAGCACGGTCAAACGTACAGCAAAGACCCTAATCATCCTGCCCTGATCAACTTCACAAGACAACACCAGCGGGCCCAATCTTCTACTCTTGGCGTGAGAGCAGCGCCGTCTGCGTCGCAGTCTGGGTCTTGTGAAACCGCCAGTGTTTGATCTTGCGTTCAAAAAGCTCGTCCAGTTCAGCGGCCGACCGTCCTTTGGTCTCGGGGATGAGGAACCACATGATCACAACAAATGGCGCGCCCAGGCCCACGTAGAACCAGCCCGTCTTAAGCTCCCAACCCCACTCGTTGTCATTGACCATGTACGGCGTCAGCACATTCATCACGACGCCCGCGACGCATGTTGATGCCGCGCCGAAGCCCGCCGTGTAGGGTCGAAGACGTTGAGAGGAGATCTCGCCGATAAAGCCCCAACCTGTCGCACCGTTGGCTGTCATGCCGATATCTGTTTGGGAGGTCAGCAACTACTAGGGCTGTGAAGGACACCGGACAGGCGCTTACTCCAAAGACAGGCGAAGAGGACAAGCAGGTATTCGGTCGCCTTCACCCGCGGTACCACGCCCAAAATGCCTATGGCTGTGCATGCCGCCCAGCACAGCGTTGAACCGCCGCATGAAATATTCCTCCGACCGAACTTGTCAGCCGTCAAGATGAAGATGAAGTTGGCGGCAATGTTGATACCGGACGTTATGCAGGTTGCCTGGAAAGGGTCCTCCACGCCGGCCTGCTGGAAGAAATACGATGCGAAGGACGAGAAGAGGGTCAGGCCGATGAATTGTTGCGTCATGAGCGTCCACAGCGCCGTGAGGGTGCGTCTCCCATCGGTACCCCTGAAAATGGACCACCACTTCTCGTTCTGAGACGCCCGCGCCACCTCCATCTCGTGGTCCACAGCCATGACGAGCAACTGATACTGGTAGTCAAGGTCGTAGTCCTTGATCTCCCAGTGCAGCCGGCGCAGCGAGGCTTTCGCTCGCGACTCGTAGCCTCGGGTGACGCACCACGCCGGCGTCTCGGGCACGAAAAGGAAGATGATGAGCATGAGCCCAATCTGCGCCCACTGCGTGTACACGGGCGTCAGCCAGTCGTCGGCATCAACCTTTGAGTGCACCTGCAGCGCGACGGGGGCGAAGAAGTTGCCCAGGACGAACCAAAAGTTGTACGACATGAGGAGACCGCCGCGGATGCGCACGGGGGCTGTCTCGGCGATGTAAGTCGGGATGGTGCTCTGCAGACAGCCGACACCAATGCCGGCAAGGAGCTTGGCCACGAGCCAGACGGGCCACGAGCGGGCCAGCGATTCCGCGAGCACGCTCATGGCGAGCACGAACCAGAAGCCGTACATGGCGGCCTTGCGGCCGAAATGGTCCGAAAGGAATGGCAGGGAGGTCATGCCGATGATCTGGCCGACTGACATGATGGATCCCCACGCACTCAAGATGGGCGATGCGAGGAACGGCTCGCCCGCGTCGTTGGTCTCTGTCGCGAATTGCCTGACGAAGCCTGGGTTGGCGATGATATTTCCATTCATGCTGGGCTCGGGTCAGCTTCTCATATTCGTCAGCACAGAGGACAGCCAGCTCTACGCACCCAATCTGGTAGCCATCCGTGGCCGCACTGAAGGCGACGAGGAAGCACGTCGCAGTGCAAACCTTGAACGCCTTGACGGTCTCCCACAGGCCGAGCGTTTCGAAGCCAGAGATAGCCTGGCCCTTGGCCGCGGCCTCCATGGAAGCCTCCTTGGCATCAAGCTTGCCCTGTTCTGCGACTTCACGGCGTCCCACGGCGATGTTGTCGGAAGGGTGCCCCTCGAGGCCCGTAGCCGTTGCTTTTTCCGTAGCCATATTGAGATATTGTCAAGGCAGTGGTTGAAGAGCGTCGAACCTACCGGAACTCTGAGTTTGAGTATCCCAGGCGGGCGTGATAATGAGCAGCAAGGCAGAGCCTATATGCTGATGATCATAACTGCAGTAAGTCTAGGTCATCTAGTTCACATCCCTCAGGTTCGTGTATCATTCTGCCGATTCCCGAAGCATGGGGAAGGGGCACTGCGTTCTCGGCACATGGACACACAGCATGTTGTCGTTGGTTGGAATCTCTACCATGTGTTCTCCCCCGCTTCATCGACTGCCACACCGTCTGGGGTGAGTCGTCACGGTTTGCGGGGTGTCATGTAGCGGCTCCACGATCGGTTCGTCGATTCGCCGATCTGTCCCCAGAGCAGGGGCAAATTCGCCGATCAAATGGGGTCAGGTAGATGTGCGACTCAGAGCAAACCTGGGGTTCCGTTGGCCCTTCGGGCTCGGCTGCTCGGGAACAATTGGGCTGGAGATGTGTTATTCGGCAGATCGGTCTCGGTTTAAGAACAACAAGAACAAGCAAGGAGTAAGAACGCTACGGAGTAAGAACGCTACGGAGTAAGACAGTTACTTGTGACGTTACAAAACTCCGGCTACTGAAGTGCTGGCTTCAAGGCTGTTGGTGGGACGGACGCACAAAAGCACACACATGCACAGGTAATTCTCCGCGGACTATTAGTTTATCACCTCCTCAGCCATATGCCGGCAACAGGACAGGAGACGATTGCCGTGAGTGGCAAGCTCTACCGTTGGGGCATATGATCCTCGCGAAGCATAGTGAAGCGACCATCATCGGCCGTTGTGGTCCTATAGCTTGCAAATCGTAAGACGTATGAAGCTTGGCTTTCGGTGGACGTTGACCCGAGCTGAATGGACTGGATGGTTATACAAGCGAGATATACGGAATTGATATCCGACTACGCGTAAAATCAAGCGTGCTCAGTCACATACGTGTAGCAGGAAGCCAGGGACCGGGGGTCGTGGGCTTCCAAATGAAGAGTTCAGTGCACGAGATATCTGTCTAGGACATAGTCTGGCACGGTTCGAGTAAACAAGCGAAACACAAACGCCATGCTCATGAGATGATGGCTGCTCCCTTCAGGGGGGTGTTCATATGCCAAAGATCGCAGTAGGCCCTCTCTATGAGCTCTATAGATAACTACGGTGCTGCTGTATGCGTAGACAGAGTAGGTACATGGTCCCGCACTCCTTTACTCGCCAGCGATGGGACTCTCCTCTGGTGGCATCATGAAGGGATGGACCAGTGGCTTGGGTGGCCACGCGCCGAGATTGCAAATACACTCAAACACATGCACGCCCGAGTTGACCACCCTACTTGCTTCCTCACCCACGCTATAATCACCCCGCAGCTCGGAAGGAAGCGTCACAACAGCCGAGCAGCTGGGAGGCACGGTCAGCTCCATGCGGAACGCCTCACCCCGCTTCAGCGTCCAGGCGATGCTGACGAGTCCATAGGGGCCATCGAATGATGCCGACGCCCTCGTCAAGTTGCCGCCCGGCACAGGCCTCACGCGGACCGTCTTCCAGCCCGGCGTCAGGGGCGAGATGCCAGCCACAGACCCGTGCAGCCAGTCAGCGACGGCGCCGAGAGCGTAGTGGTTGAAGCTCGTCATCTCGCCCGGGTTGATGCGGCCGTCGGGCAGCATGCTGTCCCAGCGTTCCCAGATGGTGGTGGCGCCTTGGGTGACGGGGTACATCCATGACGGACAGCCCGTTTCGAGGAGCATGCGGTAGGCAAGCTGCGGCCGGCCGATCGAGGTGAGAGCGTGGGCGATGACGGGCGTGCCTGCAAATCCCGTGCTGATATGGAACCGAGCCTTGCGTACGAGCTGGTCAAGCGTCAGGGCAGCCTGGGCGCGAGGGCCATCCTCGGCGGGATAGAGGCCGAACTGGACGGCCAGGGCGACGCCCGTCTGCGAGAGCGAGACCAAGTTGCCGTCTGGTGTGATGTAGCGTCGCTGGAACTGATGCCGTAGCTTGGCCGCCGCCTCGGTATACTCGGAAGCGAGGGCGTCCTTGGCAAGTGCTGAGCAGAGGGAAGCAAAGGTGTCGGTGACGTGGACGAGGAAGGCGTTCGCGACGAGAACACTGTCCGTTGACGCCTTGGCGGGGTCATCCGGTGGCGCGTTGGGATCTAACCAGTCGGCGAGCTGGAACTTGTCCGGGTTCCAAAGGCCGTCGGGAGCCCGCTCTACGCCCCGGTCGAGCCAGGCCTTCATGCTGTCAAACTGGCGGTCGAGGAGATTTTTGTCAGCGCTGTGCTGGTAGAGAGCTTGAGGAGCAAGAACTGCAACGTCTCCCCAGATGGCTTGAGAGTTGGCCTCCCGTGGCCAGTTGGAAGGCATGGCTTCCGGCACGACAAGGGGCACGATTCCGTTTGCTTCTGGCGTGAGTTGTTCGGCGGAGACGTCCTCGAGCCAGCTCCCCAACATGCCGAGTGTATCGTAGAGGAATGTCGCCGTCGGCGCGAATGCTTGCAGATCCCCTGTCCAGCCGAGCCTCTCGTCACGCTGAGGACAGTCGGTTGGTATAGACACAAAGTTGCCGCGCATGGACCAGACCACATTGCTGTGTAACTGGTTGACTGCGGAGTTTGAGCACTCGAAGAAGCCTCGCCTCTTCATATCCGTATGTATAACCAGGGCGTGGATGTCTTGGGCAGATGGGTCGCCCTCAGGCCAGCCCTCGACCTGGACATATCGAAACCCATGGAAGGTGTAGCTGGGCGACCAGTTTTGCAGTGTCTTCCCTGTAGCACCACGGACGATATCCGTGGCCTTTGCGATTCGAAGCGGCCGGACGCCAAGCTCACCGTCCTCCATCACCTCGGCGTGACGGAGAGTCAGTGTCTGGCCATGTCCGATCTTCAACTTGGGAATGCGCAGCTTGCCAACGAGGTTCTGGCCGAAATCGAGAATGGTCTTGCCACTTTTTGACTTGAAGACCGACTGGCAGGCGATCTGCTCTGTGACCCTGACGGGACCTGCATCAGGGGCTACGAGCCGGGTTGAAGGTCTCGCGATAGTCTTTGTGCCAGACTCGCCGGGCCAAGTCGCACCCGCCTCATTCCAGCCGTTCGCCTCGTTTTGGAGGTCGTACACCTCACCATCGTAGATTTCGCTAGAGGTGATGGCGCTGGCAGCCGCCGTCCAGGAGTTGTCCGTCACGAGCGTCCAGGACTCGGAGGTGCCGGCCAGCCCACTGCGCACCTCGAGCTGCGCGGCGAGGGCCAGCTCTTCGCCATAGCGGAAACGCTCGCCGCCCCCGAAGCCAAGGCGGCCGGCATACCAGCCCTCGGCCACTTCGGCAACGATTATGTTGGCCTGGTCGCGGTGCAGGAGGGATGAGACGTCGAGGATGCGGTATGCTAGACGGTGATGGTAGCTGGTCCAGCCGGGGGCGAGACACTCGTCGCTGGCTGGCTTTCCATTGACCCAGACGTTGAAGACGCCGAGAGCGGTGATGTAAAGGCGAGCCTGGATTGACTCGCCCGAGGTGATGTTCTCGGGGAGGGCGAATGTCTTCCTCAGTCGGATCGGTTGCAGGGGCCCTTGGGGTCCGATTCGCTCGGCAGATGTGACGAAGTTTGCCGTGAAGTCATCAACTTCCAGGAGTGCAGCCTCAACGGTCGAAGCAGCAGACCAGGCACCTGGCTCGTTGTCGGGAGGGACATCGCCGTTGATGCTCTTGCCCGTGACACGTACCCTGACGGTTGCCTGCTCACGAGATGCTAGGGGTCTGGCCGGCCAGGGCACTAGGACGGACTGGTCGCTTCGGATGGAGAAGACATTGGGGGTTTCAGGCGCAGAGGCAAAGGTCACCTCGATATCGTAGCCGGCTTGAATCCAGCCAGGCGTTGTGGAAGAGGAAGTCTCAAAGCGCCACGAGATGCGGGGTGTAGCGCTGTCCACACCAAGGCCGTTGTGGTGATGTTCGAACTGGGGCGCTGTCAACGTTGGAGGCGCCATGACAGCTTTGAGATGGTTATTCTGTTTGTTTTAGAGGATATCTTCACATGTAGGACACGAATGCCCGGGCAGCGATAGACCTCTATGTAGTTTTATGATGCAGTTGATGAAGGCCCAGATGACCCTTCGGTGTTATACCGACCGAGGCCTTTTGGATGTCGAGCCCCGCCATGACGACGTGAGCTCCCGGTGTGAGATGCCGATCGGACTTTTGAAAAGAGTTGATGGTCGCATTTCCCCGCGCCCGTGGGGCAGCCTTGACTTGGTCTTTGTAGATGGTGCTAGCCGCGAAAATGGCGCCAGCATGGATCTACATTCCAAGGGCACCGCGGGGGTTTAAGACGGATGGGCAGACAATCGAAAAGAAACTTGGGAGCATTATCAATGTTTGGAGTTCATATTTTCGTCACTTCCCATGTATTAGTATCGAGATAAATCTCGGAAACGGCTTGAGTTGTATTTCTTTGGCAATACAAAGACATCCAAGTGACGAAGGTCCAGCCCTTTTCACGGTGTGCCAGGTGCAGGTATGAGCCATACCATCCAGGAGGCAGAAGCCGGTTGACATGACCTCCACCTCCGATCATGCATAACCACTGACGCAAATGTAAAGAGTTGTGATTCCTGTTGTGCGGATGCTTTTCTTCCAAGACGCTACTTACTGAGAATCAAACCCATCGTTAGTTAATCTGCTTCACAATATCCTGTAGTCCATAAAATAGCAATGGCAACTTCATCAACTCCGAGTGTTTCGTGAATGGATGAATCTTCGCGACGCAGAATTACAAGACCGTAAAGCGGACGCGACATCTCGAAATTCTGGCTTAACTTAATACAAAGACGTTTGACATCTTGACCAAAGAGATCAATGAAGGCTTCTACAGGACTGAAATCTGGCCAGGTATCGGAGATCTCGTAAAATCTACAATATAGGCAAAAGAGGCAGATAGAGCACTTTCGAAAACCGTTGAAATACCACCACCTCGGCATCACAGCATGCAACGACTGGTTGAGACCAGGAACAAAACGATGATATGTATGCACCACATACTAAATGAGTCCTGGCAACCTCAGAAGTATGCGGCCAGGTTCTGTACCAGAAATTCCATGCTTGACCACCATGTGGCGTTGGATCATATCGAGGAATCACTTCGAACTCCACACAGAGGTCGGACTACAGCAGGATATAACCTCCGGGGTGACCCCAAGCCGACGGACTGGTCCACCGAGAATTTCACGTTCGACACTTGACAGTTCAAATCGGCAGAGGTGACATTGGTTCGCTATCGAGCTGTCTACATTATGATACCGCTGAAAGTTTCCAACGAAGATTTCCGCACAACCTATGCCGAGAACAGACCTAAAGCCGTCCAGGAAGAGATGACGTCGGGTTGCCTTGAAGATGACCTGGAAAATAGACCATTTGTTCCATCTCCAACAATAGATACCTTGCTTAACCCTGGCTCTCGGTAGAACTTGCTTCAGACACCGATGGGATGGACGTGCCACGGTTTTCTCATTCTTGGTAACGATCAAATTGGATCAAATGATCTGCGTCGGGGTTGGATGGATCACCTGCTGTATCGGTTCACTACGTCTATCGACTCTCAAACAAGGACCTTGTACTTCCAAGTCAACAGTCCTTGGCTACTCGGTCTACTCACTGTCGTTGTTTGGATAAAGTACCATGGATGGGTGACTAAATTGCCAAGTTGTCCCTCACGCTGGCCGTCTGGAAGTTTATTTGACTTCCAAGCCCTGGAAAAAGTTCCACTAGAGCAACAACCTCCGTGATCAGCTTGCAACCCAATATCACTTCGGCAGCGTAACAATGGCGTGATAAGCTGAGCTCATCTCATGCAGTTTGGCCGTGTCTGCAATATCAACCGCAGCCCCATGGCAAAATCGAGACAACATCTCATGATGGCTCCCGGCTTCCACCAGAAGTTCTGACTTTGCATGCATGGTAAGTCGTTGTGCATCGGGCAGAGTCATGAACTTTGCCTCAGCCACCCGCTTGATCATCCATCCCTCGAGTCAGCACATCAGCACCTCTGCCAAGATCAGGCCGATCGGTACCGCCAGATATCAAGCCTCTCCCGTTGAACAGACCCGTGTCCGACTCAGTCGACCGCCCGCCCAAAGGCTCGCGCCCGGTAGCTGCTAATTCAAGCATCGCAGAGTCACACGCCAAGCATCGTTTCCAGCAGTATGAAGCAGCAAACAAACTGGCCCCATCAGTGCTCTCCCCCCCCCCGTCCACCGCTAGAAGAACCGATGGGGAGGGATCGCCCGCGTATCTTTGCAGTCCTTCTAGTCGAGTTTCTGGGGTTGCAATGGCATGAACGGTGCCACCTGTCGGGTCCAAGCCCCCCCCCCCTCCCCTGCTCGTTCAATACTTTTAGACCTCCCCCTCCGAGACAGTACCGGCGCAAAGATCCAATGAACCAGGCCAGTCGGGAGCACCGCGGCCCTCTTAGCATGAGGTGCGCATGGCCAGGTTGCCCCTGGCAGACGCCGCCTGCGTTGCTTTCCGGTGTTTATGCCGTGAAAGGGACAGGCCAATGGGACCAGCGGGCATGATGGGAAGCGCTCGTTTCAGGAGTCGATCTTGGTCCGAAGACGGCGTGGCGGGGCCGGGAGGGGCGGTAAGTCAATATGGGGAGCAAGAAGGGCCTGGAGCGGCAATAATTCCGATCTGGAGGACCGGCAGCAGATCATTGTGTGAACGGCCGGGCGGAAGAACGGAAGAGGGGCGTCAGTGGCAAGGCACCAAGCAGAGGAGAGTAAGGGTTCGACTGCAAGGTCTGGACGTGCCTGGATACTTCTTCGCCGTGCTATCAGTCTGAGCCAGTTGACGATCGGCTCTTGGGCATTTTTCGCATTGGAAGGACTGGATCGGGGGCTAGAAGAAGGAAATCAGCCGGGTGAAGTCAGGGCCAGCCCGTCATAGTAGCAGAAGCGCCAACAATTATCCATTCATGCGGGCGACGGACAAAACACCAGGTGACTGGATCCAGCTGTTATCGACCATGCTGCCGCGCGACACAGAATTTCAGGGAGGCGAAAATAGTGCGATGCCTCTGTCATCGTTTCAGATTCCTGCCCATGAGCCAACATTGCGCGAGGACCACGGCTTCGATAGAGTTTGGAGGTCGAGGTGACAAGTCAGCGTCGGCGATGAGAGTGGGACTTGCCAGGAAAGGCTCCAGAGCTCTCTGATGGCGCTGATGGCGGATGGGGGTACTCTGGAGCCTCGGCGCCAATGCGATGCCGACCAAGTCAGCACTTGCTGCTCAGAGCGGCAGCTGACGAAACTGGGCCTGGCGATGTGAAACAAGCCATGGGGGAATCGGAAGGGGTTGTGATGGCAGCAAGCTGTCAAGTTTGGGAATCGGGCTAAGTTTGAGGTTGTAGCTGAAAGCACGGTGCCATGGCCGGCAGCCAGGCTAAATCAACAACTGGCAACGGTGCAAACCCAGGAATGCGATGCGATGTCGCTAGTGAAGTCTGCAGTCAAGCTATTGAGGGCTTGTTCTGGTGCTCCATGGCCTGCGAGGGGAGGCGGATTTGAAGGGTGCCGATACGCGCGAGATGGCCATCGTGTGGCAGAGGCATAGCCATGTGTGCTTTGAGTGATCACTCTGATCTTGATAGCGGTCTTTGGCGATGTTGTGGCAGCCAGGCCAGGAGCATCATACATCGTGCCTGGAATAGCCTCAATGAACGCGCTTACCATGCCACCAGGAACACGATGTTGGGTCTCACTCTGCGGGGTCGAAAAGCCGATGCTGGTGTGGAGCGGAATGGAGGACACGCCTCGTTCTGGAAAATGCGACGGTGCCTGGCTATCGCCCTGTCTCCCTGCAACGTCGTGTTTCATGTACCTGAATGCTAACCCTTCGCTTGTTTGGGATGCTGCACAACCTTAGGTTTGAGCGCGCTCACACCTCCGAGGCTGACCAACTAAGGTAGCATGCACAGCTGCTAGCCTCGTGTGCCTCGTGTTGCTCGGTCGATCAACTCAAGCGATGTGACCTTGACAGAGGAGGGCGGCGTTCTTTCGAAGACAGACCGCCAAGTTGGACAAGACTTGTCAAGTTGTCTAGACCGACCACATGGCTCTCTCGGGAGGTCGGCGTTCCGAGTGTTTCTCCGATGAGGTGGCGCATGGTGACTTATCTTTCCAACTTGCTTTGCCACGATAGCCCGAAACCTGACTGAATACCGTCGGACCGTATAATGCATGTCCGTGTTAAGAAGCAGACGACAACCCGGCAAGGAGAAGAAAATAAATTTTTGGGGTTTCCAGCGAGTTGCTGCTCGGTTCGTCAGTGGCAGGGCGACCTCGCCACAGAGAGACGGCTCACGACAAGGTTGCTCAGTGTGTATGTCATGGCTGAATAATGCAGTTGAAGCAGGTGAAAACCTTGTGACCTCGTTTCAGATCGGCGGCTTCCGATATGACAACCAAAGCAACCCATCAGTGTTCCAAGCATGTGGCTCGCCGATCTTGGTGGGCTGCGAGGCATCATGGCGAATGTCGATGGAGATCTGAGCTCGCTGCATGGTGTCATCCGTTGACTCGACATCAGGTTTCAGAGTCGAGGTTAGCACCCAAGGCACCGACGCCAGTCCTCACACGGAGCATTTCTGAGCGCCGCTCCTCGGTCTGATGGATTGAACGTACATCATTGGAGATGGGCAAACTTTGCAAGATCGAGGGAATGAGAACTGGGGTTTGCTGCTATTCACGGACATTGAGGGTCCAGTCACATCAGAGGCCGCGGCCACCAGACTGGTCGGCAACAGAAATATCCCCCCGTACATACGGCATTCCCTTGGCCATTGCCGCCATGTAAAAAGCCTTCGAATCTAACGAGCCGCTCAGTCGAATGCGGGGAGCTGTGGAAAATGATCAACTGCAAAGGCCGCTGCAGCTGCGGCCGAGATCTCCCTGACTGCCGCGTTCGAACGAACCAAACAGTTCAGCTCTCGCCTACGTGGCTGGGCGATGGTGCTGGCGCTGGTGCTGGCGCTGTGGAAGCACACAATGCGCGACGTGAGCCTGGGACGGGAAGGATGGATGGCGTTCTATTTCGGGGGCTGCCCAAAGGTCAAGTCCAGCAGAAAAGCCTGAAGTCGTCGAGGCAAGCATGAAGACAGGCGGCATGATGTGGGGTACACAAACCTGAGGGAGCCAATGGCAGAGACGCACCGCCTGAAGATGGCCGTAGCGCTTGCAGGGGGAGCTCTTCAGGATGTGGATTGGCTGGCTTCACAGTTGGAACTTGCCTGATGTAGAATAGCGTTCTTCTGAAACGCCCACTAGAACGGGGCCCGGGGGGGATCAAGTGGACACGCATGGCTGGATGACAACAACAGAACAGACCCGGCAGCAGCTACTGGCAAGCGGCAACAACAACCGGCAGAGGACAGAGACAGGGCAGGGTCGATAGGTGGGTAGATGAATGATGGGAAGGAACACGCGCATACGTCGGTCGTACATGCATTTCCCAGCTGGGTGGAGGGGAGGTTTCGCTTGGTGGAGAACCCCCCGTCTGGCGACAACTGAGTCGGCGTAACGCTCATCTCTTCCACTCCCCCACCACTCGAAATAGCATCGGACCAGGCGGTCAACAACAACAACAACAAAAGGCCTCGGAAGCGACACACGGCCTTGCTTAGTCTTCCCACAGAGAGCACGACCAACCAGCGCACGCATCTTCCAAGAGAGGCTCACAGGAGAGGCTCACAGGAGAGGCTCACAGGAGAGGCTCTCAGGAGAGGGCACCATGGCCATGGGCGCAAACGTCGGGGCCCTGCTTTGCTGTCTAGCTGCACGTCAGAACACCACACCGGGAAACATTTAAGATTGCGGAAGGGGGCTTCTCGGAGCATTGATTATCTGGAAAGGCGGGGACAGGGCTGGATAGCTGAAATGTGCCGTGGTAATGCCACAAGGATGCAGTCCAGAACAGCCAGAACAGCGTCCAGACTGGGTGCACATTTCCACTCCGTGACGGGGCCCCCCTCTCACTCATTGCCCGGAAGAATGGCAGAATGCAACGCACGGCGATGGCCGGGGCCCACGGGACGATCAGTCAGGCACGCAGCAGTAAGGGCCCGGAACGGCCAAACACACATAGTCAGCAAGCCATCCAGCCGCGGCCCTGGCGCACACACCAGCTGCTCACCGGGTGTCTGGTCGACGGCGAGCTCTCGAGTTTCAGGGACACCGTGGTATGCGGGCTGGCGGGCTGGCGGGCAGGGCGGGAGGGTGATCAAACACACTATCCCCATCACTGGCATGGCCTGGACCACGAGAGCTCGAGGATTCAACATGCATGCGAGCATCCCCCACGTCAGGCGAGGGAGAAAAATCACCGACGACAGCGTCACTGTGGAGGGACATTAGGAAGATCTCCCTATTCTAGGGCCCTGCTTGCCTTATGTTGTGGGCTTTTCGGAGTTTTTATCACTCTTCCTTCTTTCTGGCAGGCGAACAGCAGTATCGGCATCCACTTCATGCCCTGGGTTCAGGGATGGCAAGGAGGACGTCGTGGCTATCCAGGGCGTGCCATGCGTCTGGCCCTTCCATCGCCTGGCCAATGTCGAGCGGCATCAACGTCCGCATGAATGTGAGGACCGGCGGAGACGGCTTGGTCCTCTGGATTCAAGGAAAACCTGATCGGCTCAGTCAAACACAATGCTTTCAGATCCTGCCGTTCATCCAATCGATGCAGTAACACAGATAGAAAGTCTGGCGTTTGGTCGCCGCCCACGTCCGCCGCTACTTGTTTGCATATTCACAACCGCCACAAATGGACAAGTCAGCTAGTAGAGAACGAGTTCTGCGAGGCGTGTGCAACGCGTGAAGGAGGGGCGTGTTCCCATGCTGCTCCTGTGCAAAGTCACAACCGAAGGAAAATGCAGCTAGCGCCGATTCTTGGCCCAACTAGACATTTCTGAAGCGGTGCGCCAGCCGTGTTTCAGAGCAGCAGGGTCACCGAGCTGTGGTAGGGTCGCGCAAGGGCCAGAGCCCAGAGGCCGCAAAAAAGCCTGACTTGGATTTTGCTGCTGCTGCTGCTGCTGCTGCTGCCATCCGTTGCCAGTCGTGGGGGCTGTGAAGTGAGTGGCGTCAGGCGCGCATCTTCTTTTGTTTATGCACCCTTCCTTCTTCTGGTGTAGACTCGAGCCTAAAATGCGCAGTCATAGGCGCCGGTGGCAGAATTGGAGGCGACTCTCCCATTGAATAACGTTCAGCGCCGGTGAGATCAACGTCTGGAGAACAAGACTTGTCTCGATGCTAGCACGATGCATGAAATCAGGGCCAACGTGTCTGCTTCGGCAATGGCGGGTTGTCAGCTCGCCGGAGAACATGTCATCGAAGGGGACGATCAATATTCGCAACGCATAGACCATTCGTCTCTTGCTCCAGTTGCCCAATGGATGCCATGGATAATTCGCGTTTATTATGTAGACTCTGATCATCCTGTGCATCCGAGCCCTCCCTGTGGGCTGCCAGGGTCGGCGTTTCCCGGACCTTCGCTTCAAGCGATATTGGATGTGGAGATGCTTTCAAAAGAATCCATCCTCGACGCGACGTGTTTTTTGTTTCTTGCTTTCACGCTCGCTGAGTTTGCTCCCGCTATTGCACCTTGAAAGAGGCATTTGACCAAAACAAACACAGATGGACCAACAATTTGACGACCATTCGGAAAAAACGAATCGCGCACGTTGTAGATTCATGGCTTAGCCGGGCGCCAGCAGGAACGGTGCCCGTGCCGGCTCATGAAGAGTCGATGCATACAGAGCTAACATGATGCGATGACTAGCATAGCTTTTTTTTTTTTTTTTTTTTTTTCTTACAGCGATCCACCCCGCTCTGGCAGTTCGATTCGTGGTATGGCCTCTCAACGACACCAGCGACTGGACAGGTGATCTCAGACACTCAATTACAATCGATGAAAGGAAACCCGAGATCCGGCCCCAGAGGCGAACGCTGAACGCCCTGACCACTGTCTTCATGTTTCCCTTGCCAGAGCAGCGCCGACCTCTAATACAGCCCAGGGAAAGCCTCATCATCAAAACGATACCCACCTTCGCAACCGTGTTCTCTTGGCCTGGGTTTGGGAACTATCGGCCAACACACGCAAACACTCGTACCAGTGAGGGCCATGTTAGTGGTCATCGGAGGGGCAAGACAGGGCGGCCGTGAGCCCCTGCGTTCATGCCAGCCGATCAAGCTTTTCCCCTCCAAAGCTCTTCATTGTTCGTAATATATGAAATGGAAATTGTCTTGTTTATTTCTCTAAGGAAACGAGAGGTCGCACAAGGAGCATGTTCGATGTGACGGTATTTCGGGCGCTCGCCGGCATTGGGGATAGCAGGACGCGGCGCGGATGATCCAGGCCACGTCCCAACTCCTTTTCACCGCGTGCCCCCTGTCAATAGCAGCGCCGTGGCCTGGTCTTAACACACGGCCGACGCTGACGACTCAACCCAACGAACTTCCGCGCGGTCCCTCCGCCGGCGGTCCATCGCAGTTGCCAACCCTGTGGCCGGACCGGGTCTGGGACGGATGTCGACCAACAACTGCCTTCTTCAGCAGGTGAACTTCGCGATGGCAGACTTGCCCGTTGGTAAACTTGCCCGATGAGAGGTGAGCCGTGGTCGTGCAACCTCTTTTTTTTGTTAGTGAACTTGCGTTCTGCGCGACGGGGGCGGTGCGGGAATCTGGCGTTCTGAGTCAAGCTGCCGCGGAGGACCCAATCAGCGGGCTCAGACAGGCGACGATAAGGGGGGGAAGGCGGGGGCTTAGTCTCATGAACCGCTATACGCCATCGTCTGGTCTGGTCTTCAACAAGCAGCAAGAGTGACTTGTGCAACACAGCGTAAAAGGGAACGCCGACTGCCTGGCACCTCTGTTGGTCCGACAAAAGGGAACCAGAACGCCACAGCACCATGCTCCTTTCTGCAGCTCGCCGCCATCGCCGCACTTCCCTCTGAGCTCCGACTCTGCGTGTGAGGTGTTGCTTTGGAGTTGAAAAAGGGGCGTATCGGGGTTGACCGGCCAGTGATGGTGAAGGTGTCGATGGGACCATGGGATCATGGCCTCCCCACCAGGCCGCCGCGAGAGTCTCTGTCTGACAGACGAGTCATATGTCAGCAAGCTGGGAGGGCTTGCTGTCTTTGAGCATTCCATCATGGAAGAACAACGACGTTCGGAAGCTGAATGAACGCGCAGCCCGGCCAAACATGGGGCACCACGAGAAACAAAACAATATGAGATATCCACCGTGGCAGGGCATATCGACACCATTGGCACTGGAGGTTTTTTTTTGAGTTTCTTTTCCCTTCCGCGTTCCCCATCCCTCTGCTGTAACTTGAATGGATTACATGTACCTCGTCAAAGCAGGCACCTGCAGGCAAGGGGCCCAAAGGCTACGGGGAATAGGAATGCGAGCTCCTTCGTCATCTCTCGGCTGTCCCTGGGAAGAAGAGCTAATTGATGATGGTCAGGCTTGCACAACCCAAAGGTTCCGAGCTGGTCGAGCAGCGCACAGGGCGATGAGCGCTGAGCGTTGGGAAAAGGCACGAGCGGCGACGGCTGTTTGCTACAACGACGCCCCAGATCCCCACTCGGGAAACGTTTCTACCACACCCTCCCTCATCCATACCGTCCACATCTACATCCACCGGGCGCGCCAGGCACAGGCACACGACAAGACAGGACAGGCACCTTTTTGTCCATGTCATGCCTGCCCTGCCGGTCCTGTCTGTCCGTGAATAGTCTGTCCTTCCTACCTGTACCCTCCTCCTGCCTGCCCTGCCTGTGCCCCAGCCGGTCGTGTCCACTCTCGCCTATTCATTCGGTACCACACACCACACCCTGGGCCCGAGGTACCTCCACCCCCCTTTCTTGCCTCTGCTGCCCCGTCCGAAATGCAACGATGGTACACGCTGATGCTGGCCCAGTGGCTGCCCCCTTCCTTCCTTCCCTCTTCCCATCTGGTGCCCCCCCTTCTCCCAATGCCCCTTCCCTGTCGATTCCCTGTGTCCCACCCACGCACACACACCACGGTCACGGTCGTGGTCACGGCCACAGCTCAGCGCCTCTGGCTTCTGCTCTGTTCTCCTCGCTGATCCCACCTCTTCCCTCCCCTTCCCGTCTCTCGCACTCATACCCTCCCTCAACACCCCCCCCGTCAAAAATCATTAAACCCCAGAGCGTCCTCCATTTCTCAAACCCTTTCGAGATCTCCTTTCCTCAAGACTTCTCTTTTCCTCTCTCTCGTTTCTCTTCTCCTCCACTTTCCTTTCCCCTCCCCCTCAGACGGTCTCCCCCCCCCTCTTCGGAGCCGCACACCCCTCCTCCCGTTTCCATTCCATCTCATCAGGAGCTCACCCCTCGCTCCTCTGCCGAACCTCGTCAACGTCTCAGACACGATCCGTCGCACGTCTCGTCCATCATCGCGGATCCCGCCGACGACCCTACGACCACACGAGCCCATTCTCAGAAGGCCGTGTCACGATCTATTTCGACAATCCCAGAGAGCTGAGCTGAGCTTGTGCCGCGCCTGCCCAACCCTCGGCCACCTGTTGAGAGCTTGTTCATTCCTTCGTTCTGCTGCTGTCCGTTCCAGCACACGTCGTTTCGCTCGACACCCTAATCCAGACCACTCGGTCCATTGTTTCGCGAACCACGTTATCCCGGCTTCGATCAGCCATCAATTACAGACTACCGCACCAACGAAGACCTTGACGGTTCCACTCCGCTGTGTGCGTGTGTACAACTTTTTTTTTATTACACGGGCTGGACTCGATTTCATATACAACCAACACAACATCCTTCTGTCCCGTATCGGCAGCGCCTTTTTCGCGGCAGACTTCTCACGTCTCCACGCCATCACGGTCTTCATCTTCCTGAATCGACCGCAGCACCCCCCTTTTCCCGCCATCGAAGTCTCTTGACAACAGGCATCTCATCGAGACCCAATTGACGAGATCAGCTTCGCGAAAACAAGAGCTGCTCTCTCGCCAACCGGTTCGACGCGACCGTCAACCGCCGTCCGCAAGAACCAATTGGAGCACCGGCTTTCACAGCGGCCTCCTCCACAAATCCAAATCTCACAACACCATGTACTCCCAACAGCATGCCGCCGCCATGGCGCCGCAAAAGCCTGAGACCTTCATGCTGAGCACCGAGGCACAGCAGGCATTGCCCCATGACGCCCAGGTCGCCCTTCAGCAGGTCGACAACCTGAAGTACTTCCTCATCTCTGCTCCCGTCGACTGGCAGCCCGATCAGTACATCCGCCGCTTCCTTCTGCCCACGGGCGAGTACGTCTCGTGCGTGCTCTGGAACAACCTCTTCCACATTTCGGGCACCGACATTGTGCGCTGCCTCTCCTTCCGCTTCCAGGCCTTTGGTCGTCCCGTGAAGAACTCCAAGAAGTTCGAGGAGGGCATCTTTTCCGATCTGCGCAACCTCAAGTCCGGCACCGATGCCTCGTTGGAGGAGCCCAAGAGCCCCTTCCTCGACTTCCTGTACAAGAACAACTGCATCCGCACACAAAAGAAGCAGAAGGTCTTTTACTGGTATAGCGTCCCACACGACAGACTCTTCCTCGATGCTCTGGAGCGCGATCTGAAGCGTGAGAAGATGGGCCAGGAAGCCACTACCGTCGCCGTCAGCGAGCCCGCCATGTCGTTCCAGTACGATTCGTCGCAGTCGCTCTACGAGCAGCTCACCAAGGCCCAGCAAGCCAACTCTTCATCTTTCAGCGCCCAGCAGCAGGTGTCGTTTCCCCAGTCCCAGTCGACCTCGCCCGTCATGAGGGCGATCGACTCGATGCCGCCTCCCCAGATGATGCCTCAGTCAGTCCCCCCCATGGGCGACGGCCTTGAGTCCATGGTGCCTTACGGCGCCATGCAGATGCCCCCCTCTATGCCTCCCTCCATGCCTCAGGGCATGCCTCCTCAGATGCCGCCTCAGCAGATGGTTAAGCGTGAGCCCGACTACGGTCGTCCTCAGTACAACCAAAACGGCATCCCCGTCAACCAGGGCCACCAGCGCCACGCTTCCATGCCCGCGTACGGGCTCGAGTACTCGCCCGCCCCTTCATTCGTGTCGTCGCAGTATGAAGACTACAGCAACCGCGGCATCTCGTTTGAGCCCATCACCCCTCCCCAGCAAGCTTTGGGCTTGACGGCTGAGCCGGCCTACATTGCCAACGAGGAGACTGGACTGTACACTGCCATTCCTGACCACATGGTCGGCGGCAACGGTCTGAACGGCATGATTCAGCTGCCTCCCTCCAACCTGGCTGGTGCTCAGTTCTCGCGCGGTTACGGTGCTAACAATGTCTATTCTGTCATCGAGGGCTCGCCCACGTATAAGCAGAGGAGGCGACGCTCGTCCATCCCTCCTTCCATGTCCGCCATTGCCGCTGCCACGGCTCAGGCTCAGGGACAGCAGCAGCAAGCTCCTACCCACAGGCCTTCTGAGCTTCGCCGCTCCGTCTCCGCCTCGGTCGGACCAGTGCTGGAGGGTGATGAGTCGGCAGAAAACTCCCCGCCTGGCCTCACCTACAGCACGTCTGCCATGCATCTCATGAACCAGCAGCACAAGGACGTCCTCGACATGTCTCGTCACGGCACGCCGCCGTCGAATGTGGATGGTAGCCCGGCGCTGAACCCAATGGCGCTCCAGCAGCAGGACTTCCCTCAGCTGACAAGCGAGGACATGTCGGCTGATGGCTCCATGGGCGTCTCGCGTGCTGTCATGCATGGTCCCAATGGTGCCGTCCGCCGCGCGCGTTCTGCTACCGTCATGGAGCTCGGCCCTTACCCCCAGAAATCACACTCTTGCCCCATTCCCACGTGTGGTCGCATCTTCAAACGCTTGGAGCACCTCAAGCGGTAAGGTCCAATTTATTTCATTTGTCATATTAAACGACCTGCCGTGAATCTGACCAAATCATCCAGACACGTGAGAACACATACACAAGAAAGACCCTACATCTGCCCTCATTGTAGCAAGGCGTTCTCTAGATCAGACAACCTAGCACAGTATGCCCCTACTTTTCTTAAATGTTTTTCATTTGTCATTTCTTTTGTCAAACGAAACTTTTGCCACGATGCTGTATGGCTCTCCCCGACTCCGGGCCAACTCAACAAATCCGACACCCACCCTCAATCGCCACCACGTCACACAGCCACCATCCGACACGAAATAAAAAAAAGCATATCAAGCAGCATTGACTAACGATTGTTTCCTCACAGACACCGACGCACCCACGAACGTGGCGAAGGCATGGATGGTCCCGTTAACTTCTCCGGCGAGGAGGAAGAGGACTACTCCGGTGAAGACCAGCTTGGCTCTCTCGAGGAGGCCTCGCCCAGCTCCGAGAACGCCTACATCACTGCGTCTCTCAACAGTGTCGCTGATGGCCAAGTACACGGCAACGTGGTTGCGCCTCAGACCTTCAACAGCCTCCAGACGCTCAGCATGCCCATGACGCTTAGCCAGCCTGCCATGCACAGTGGCGCCATGTGAAACGACGATGACCATGATTGGAGCGGGCGCTTGATCTGCGGAGGGCGCGGACAAGCAGCGGTTTTCTCGGAGTTCGGTGGGTTATGCTGGGCCATTTCGTTTGTCTTACCTCAGCCAAGGCTGGGGAGAATACCTGGGCCCCTCGGCTCTTTCTTGAGCGATTTTATTTCAGTGTTTTATTTCTTATGTCTCTTTCACGACAAAGGAGGGTGCTCAGCCATATAGAGGGCATACCTCGCAGATGCGCATGCAGTGGACCGAGAATTCACGCATGGACCAGACGGTCCCACGCGAAGGGGGAAAAAAGTCGCCCTTTGTATATATAGTCCCATTTTTCTTTCTTTCTCGGTCAGGGACCGGACCCTGATCAGTGGGCGGAAGTGATACCAGAGGATGAGAAGAGAGGAACTGGGTCATGTCTACTTGAGAGGAACTGGCCGCAGTCGCTTCGTACAATGACGCACACATATTCGACATGTTCATATCAGATATCGTTCAATTTGACCAATATATGATGTCTGCTTCTTCGACGACGGTCTATGCAGTGTAATGAATCAATGCGCTTGGGAATAGGATGAAAAAAAAAGCCACCAGCTGACTAGGGCCACGACGGTAAGAGGGCGTTCATGATTTGTCGTAACAACCGTCTTACCGACCTCTCCTCCCCCGACCACCAGATTTGCCTCCCCTGCCGCCTCTGCCCCCACCACTACCCTCAATATTCCGCACGTCGCGATCACTGAGCTTGAGCTCGGCGCCGCGCATCCTGCCGACCTCGGGCCCGTCCAGCGCCCTCTCGTGGCGGCCCTTCTTCTCGGCCTTCTTGACGGGCGCCACGCGCTCGAGGACGACGCCGTTTTCGCGGGCCTCGCGGCGGCGCTTGTCCTCGCGCGCGTCGCGCGTGGCGGTGATGCGCTTGCGCATGGCCATGGGCATCTTGGCCTGCGTGAAGAGGGAGGGCGACTGCTTGGCGAGGGGCGCGCCGGCGGCGGCGAGGGACTGGATGCGCAGGTCGGTCGTGCGCTGGCGCAACTTGCCGGCGGCGAAGGGCTTGGCGGCCGCGGCCGTGGAGGCCGTCGTCGGGTTCAGGGAGGCGAGGAGGTGGGACTCGGAGAGGAGGCGCTGCAGCGCAATGTCCTGGGCGCGAAGCGTCGACTCGTCCGGCTCATCTGACGGCGAGGGTTTGGCGGGCGGCGGTGGCGGTTTGTCCGTCTGCGTAGGCGGTCGTGAGGACTGCCTCTTTCCGTCAGCATGTGTGTTCTCAGCATCATGGCCTGCGTGGATCCTTGATTACGGCCAAACAGAAGGGGGGAACCACGAAGGGAGGCAAACGGACCATGAAGGCTTTGAGTTGGCGTTTCGTCATGCCGGCTGTTGGGTCGTGGGGCTTCGAGTCGGTGTGGTCGACGACCTCGATTGCCTGCTCGGCTTCGTCCGCGGACACGCCGTCCCAGTCTGAGTCGACCTCTGCATCGTCTTCCAGAACCTCTTCCGCTTCGGGCTCGGCGACCTTGGGCTTCTTCGTCTCGGGGAGCGGCGCGAATTGGGCCTCGAAATGGCGGCGGAAGATTGCTTGGGCTTCTTCTTCTGAGATGGCCGGCTCTTGCGCCTTGCGCGACTTGCGCTTGCCGAGGACGGAGGGCATCTTGCTGGCCTGGCTGGTGGGGGTTGTGGTGGAGGTTTGGAGGCGATGGTGATGGGGTTTCGCCAGACTGCGGTTTGGAAATTTCTCCAGCTGTCAGCCTGATGGGGAGGTGGGGGAGGTCGAAGTCGCCTGGACTGATGGTGATTGGCCACAAGGACCTCAAAGTGAGACTTGAGCGCAGCCTTATGCGTGTTCAGGGGTCTGATAAGACAATAGCGAGGCGGGCGGGGAGACCCGATAAGAAATTTTTCGATGTGAAGGCTGCAGCTCTCGCTGTCTCTCTCTGTACGGGAGATGCGTGGTGTTGCATTTCGTCGTCGTTCATTTTCAACCGACAACAGCCTGCCCCTGTCAATCGCCCAGGACTGTCGACCGATTACATACCCGGAAACCGAAAACACAAAAGAAAATCGAACGAACTTCACAGAAATGCCCACGATGAAGCGCAAGATCGACCAGACTGAAGAGCCCGAGGTGGCTGCGACACCGACGAAGAAGCCCTCCGAGACGAAAGCGACATGGGACAACCTGGGCCTGTCCCCAAGACTTCTCCAAGGCGTGGCTCAGCTCAACTGGCACAACCCCACAGATATCCAGGCCAAGGCTGTGCCTCTCGCACTCGAGGGACGTGACATCCTCGCGAAGAGCGGCACGGGTACCGGCAAGACGGCCGCCTATGTTCTGCCCGTCCTCGAGAAGGTCCTGCAAAGGAAAGAGAAGGAGGCCAAGGGGGCCGCCGCCGCCACATCGGTCCTCATGCTCGTTCCCACGCGAGAGCTCGCCGACCAGGTTCACAGGTCAATCGAGTCGCTCGCGGCTTTCTGCGCCAAGGATATCCAGGCCGTCAAGCTCACCGACAAGGTCTCGACCACCGTCCAGCGTGCGCTCCTCTCCGCAAACCCCGACATTGTCATCTCGACCCCCGCCAGGGCGTGGGACAACGTCAGCTCATCCGCCCTATCGCTCGCCAACCTCACCCATCTCGTCCTCGACGAGGCCGATCTCGTGCTGAGCTACGGCTACAAGGAGGATCTTCAGAACGTGGCGCGGTCGCTGCCCAAGGGTGTGCAGACGATCCTCATGAGTGCGACGTTGACGCCAGAGGTCGACACGGTCAAGGGGCTGTTCTGCAGGAACCCCGCGCTGCTCGACCTCGAGCAGCCCGAGGCGGAGGGCGATGGCATCACACAGTTCGTCGTCAAGTGTGCCGAGGATGAAAAGTTCTTGCTCATCTACGTCATCTTCAAGCTGAAGCTGATCCAGGGCAAGGCGCTGGTGTTTTGTCACGACGTCGACCGCTCGTACAAGCTGAAGCTGTACTTTGAACAGTTTGGCATTCGCAGCTGTATCCTGAACGCGGAACTGCCCGTGAACAGCCGTCTCCACGTGGTAAGTCGAACTGGTCGTGCGGTTATGGAGCATGCTTACTGACGTTCACCAGGTCGACGAGTTCAACAAGGGTGTGTACGACATCCTCATCGCGTCAGACGACAACGAGGTGGTCGGCGACGAAGGCCAAGAGGACGAAGGCGAGGAGGAGACGACAGAGGAGCCGAAGAAGGAGGCCAAGAAGTCCAAAAAGACCCAGCAGCAGCAGCAACAGCGTGCCTCGCGCAAAGACAAGGAGTATGGCGTCTCCCGTGGCATCGACTTCAAGAACGTCGCCGCCGTCATCAACTTTGACCTGCCCACGAGCGCAAAGTCCTACACCCACCGCATCGGCCGCACCGCCCGCGCCGGCCAGCGCGGCATGGCCCTGTCCTTCGTCATCCCGGCGCAGCACTACCGCGGCCACCCGCCCTCGTCGGTCGAGTCGGCCGAGCACGACGAGAAGATCCTCGCGCGCATCGAGAAGCAGCAGGCCAAGAAGGGCAAGGAGGTCAAGCCGTACCACTTTGACATGGCCCAGGTGTCGGCCTTCAAGTACCGCATGGACGACGCGCTGCGCGCCGTGACGCGCGTCGCCGTGCGCGAGGCCCGCACGAGGGAGCTCAGGCAGGAGCTCATCAAGAGCGACAAGCTGAGGCGCCACTTTGAGGAGAACCCCCAGGAGCTCGCGCACCTGCGCCACGACGGCGAGCTGCGCGCCGCGAGGATGCAGCCGCATCTCAGGCACGTGCCGGACTACCTGCTCCCGGCCGATGGCAAGAAGGGACTGACGGCGGACGAGGTGGGCTTCGTGCCGCTGAGGAAGAAGAATGACCGCCGCAACAGCAGCCGTCGGGCGGGCGGGAAGAAGAACAGCAACAGGGTGTTCAAGGTCGGGAGGAAGAAGAGCGACCCGTTGAAGTCGTTCAAGGCCAAGGCGGCGAAGAAGTAAGAGCGCCCACCCAGGAGCTCGGCGGGTGGGCTTTTGGTGTGGATGGCTCAGGTATGGGCAGGGTCAGATACCACCGATAATGCATTACATGGATCAATGGAGCTCAGGCGTTTCTTCTTCTCTGGTGAATCTTACTCTTCCTCAGGCCTGTTGTGTGTTGCCCTCAAGTGTGACTCGAGAACAGCGGCGTGATTATTACTAAAACCTTCAACCATGCCGACTTGGGTGCTTCTTATGTAGTTTGTCATGTTGAACCACACAGCAGAGTCGTGCCCAAAGCAACTGGCAAGACCACCCTGGCGCCAGACTAGGGCTCTCTTTCAGATCAAGGACGAAATGGAGAAAAAGACGGCAGCCGATGTCACAAACTCGCTTTCTGGTCAAGACGCAAGACAATCACAAACCGAATAGCAAGTGAGGGACACAAATACATTGAGGTATATGGGGCAAAAGACAAGAAATAGCTTTCTCGCCTTCTCCCACAGGAGGAGGTCGACAAAAGCTCTCATCACGCTCGTCACTCTCATCACATGCTGGACAGGACCAGATCCCGCCCCTACCCGTAACGCCAGAAACCCCGTTCTCCTGCGAACAGGAGAGCCCGCACCAACGAAAACCAGACGTCAAAACGTACAAGCCGGCCCACCAGCCAGCCTAGCCCTACCGCCCCTTGGCCTCGCCGTCCACAAAGTTCAACGCCTCTTCCGACGAGTAGACGTCGATGCTGGACGCCTTGTTGCTAAATGTGACGCCATAGCACTTGTCCGCGACAAGAACAATCTCGGGCCGGAAGGTGGTGCAGATGAACTGCGTGCCGGCCTCGTCCGAGATACTCTGCAGGAGGGCCGCGACAGCGGTACGGTACTGGGCGTCGAGGTTGGCATCGACCTCGTCAAAGATGACCATGGGGCTGGACTCGGTCTGCTGTAGGGCAAAGATGAGGCAGAGGGCGCAGAGACCTTGATCACTGTTAGCAACAGGCACCCATATGGAGATGGGGAACGAGGACTTACTCTTCTGGCCACCACTGAGCTGCTGGATACGCTGCTGCTCGTCCAGCGTCTTGGAATTGAACGACACGCTGATTCCGACACCAGTGTAGTTCTCGACGTTGCCGCGCTGGACGTCATCCGACTCCTCCGGGTCAACCTGGCGCTTGTCGGTGCGTCGCTGGATAACGAGGCGGCCGTGACCCGCGGGCACGAGTTTCTCAAAGATGGTGGCAAACTCCTTCGACACTTGTTTGAACGTGCGTTCAATGGCTTCGTCCTTGCGCTCGTCGAGATGCTCGATGAGTTCCTTGATGGAGCGTTGCGAAGCATCGAGCTCGGTGCGTCGCTTCAACAGCTGGTCCTGCTGCGAGGTGAAGCTGTTGTACTGTTCGAAGGCCTTCTTGTTGACGTGCTGGTACTTCTTGAGGGCGTTGCGAACCCGCTTGAGCCTCGAATCAATCTGTTATTGTCATTAGTCATGTGCAATTGTAGCCATCGGGAAAGGCTGTAGCTTACCTGCTTCGAGTCCAAGTTTTCGTACTTGCTGAAGTCGTCTGGCAAAACGCCGAGGTCACGGATGGCCTTCGCGGCATCCGCTGCCTGAGCACTGTAGACTGCCTTCTTTGACTGGCTCTTCTCGATGAGGGTTCGTTGTTTGGCCTCCTTGACAGATATCTCTTGAAGATGCTGCTCGTTCTCAGCCTTGCTGGCTTCACGGCGAGCAACCTTGCCGCTCAGCTGCTCGATCTGAGTCTCGGTCTCCTGGAGCTTGGTTTCCACCTCGTCCGCGACCTTCTGCAGCCTCTTGAGCTCACGCTGCGCCTCTTTCAGGTTGCCCGATGGCCCGGACACCGTGTTCTCGATCTCTTGGCTGATGAGTTGGTTCAGCCGCTGTTCAAGGTTCTCGCTGATGTTGGCCTCGAGAATCTGCTTGCGGCGCTCGACCTCGCCCCTTTGTCGACTCGTCTCATTCCACTCCTTTTGGAGTTCGTCGACCTGTTTCTCCAGCTCACTCAGCTGGCGCTCCTCGGCGGGCGAGAGTGCCTTCTTGAACTCGCTCGAGAGTTCGGCTTCGTGAGCAGCCAACGTCTCTGTGAAATCCTTCATGTTCTTCTCCACCTTCTCGCGGCGTTTGATGGCGGCCTCGAGATGCGCCTTCTCCCGCTCCAGGTAAGCGTGCTTGCTGCTGAGCTGATTTCGCAGCGGGTCGAACCCGCCCTGGAGATGGCGGAGCTTTTGCTCGGCCTTTTGAAGCTCGCCCATGGCCTGTGTGATCTGTTGCCCCTTCTGTTCAATTCGATGGCCAAGCTCTTCGAGCTGTGACTGCAGATGCTCGTGCGAGTCACGCGCCTGGTTCAGCGCATGGACTGCTTCCAGGCGCGACCTTCCAGGCTCTATGTAACCACCTGTCATGGCACCTCTCTTGCTCGCCTGATCACCCTCTGGAGTGATGGCATCGACACCGTGACTCCTCGCGTACTGGGTCGCGATAGCCAGGGTGCGGCACACGACAACCTTGCCGAAGACTTGCTGAAAGGCCTTCTCGTACTTGGGGTCGTATCTGATCTTGCTGAGCAAGGGTACGGCGTCCTGTGACCTGGGAAGATTGACTTGGCGCGGCCTCAGTTGGTCGAGCGGCATGAAGGTAACACGACCACCTTTTTGCCTGTTCAGCTGTTCAATGATGAACTCGGACGTCCGCGAGTCTTGCACCACATAGTGGAACAGACTGTTTCCAGCGATCTGCTCGGCAGCCAGGCGGTAGGCCTCGTTCACCTCGAAAAGCTCCGCCAAAGTACCGTATGCACCGGGAATGTCCTGCTCACGTTTGAGGCGGCGAATCGTCGCGAGACCACGTTTTGTAGCGCCATCCATCGAGTGGCCCAGCCTGTTCTCGGCATCGTGCTTCTCATGCAGTGCTGTTTCAGTCATGTGCCTGAGCTTCTCCTCGTCGCGAGACAGCAGCTGCTTTTCGTCTTGCAAGCCATTGAGGACGTCCCTGGCCTTGGCGGCGTCTTTTTCGAGATCGTCTCTGGCGCCGCCGAAGCCTTCGAGTTGCGATCTCAGGTCAGCCATCTCAGCTTCGAGCTGCTGAATGGAGTTCTCTACTCGAGTGACATCTTCAGCAGTGGTCAGCTTGTTTGCCTTTTGTGACATGATGTTGGCGCGCAGGTCCTCAATTTCGTCTCTCAACCACTTGTCCCTCGCCGCCTTGTTCTTAAACTGAGAGCTGCGAGTCTGCTTGTTGTAGAGGCGAGTGCGAGCGGCCTCAGCAGTGTCCATCTGCAGTCGTATCTCGTTCTCCTTCTTTCTCCGTTCAGCATAGACAGGCGTGATCCTCTCGAGCTCGTGTTTGCTGTCCGCCATTTCCTTGCGCACGGCCTTGAGCTCGGCGTCGTGTTGCTGCTGCGCCTGCGCCGCCGCTGACTGCCCGTCGAACAGGTTCTTCACCTTGAGCTCGGACACGGCCTTGTCCTTTGCCGTCTTGCGACGCTCCTCGTCCAGTTGGCGCCGATCGATCTTGAGAAGGTCCATCTCGCGCGTCAACTTGGTGATCTCGGCGTCGAGCTTGGCAATGGTCCTTTCGGCATCCTTGAGCTCGTTGCGGATCTGTTCTGTGCTCTCGAGGCCATTCTGGCGCATATTCTCGATGCGCTCGAGCTGGCTCTGGAAGGCCTGTTGTTCCTGGTAGTACAGGGCGTACTCGAGACACCTGCGGTCCCGATCCTTGTCCTGGAACCCCCGCAGCTCTTCCTTTTCCTCCTCGAGCTCGGCGAGTCGCTCCTTGATGTAGCCGAGCAGCTCGTCAATCTTCTCCCTCTTGTTGTTCGTCTCGTTCATAATCTTCAGCGACTCGGCGCGACGGGCCTCGTACACCTGGGTACCGGCGACCTCCTTCATGAGGTTCAGCCTGTCGGATTCCTTCATGTTGGTCAGGGCGCTGACGCGACCCTGCGGCACAATGTAGTAGGGGTTGGACCTCGAGAAGCCGGCAGCCTCGAGCAGGTTGATGACATCGTTCTTGGTGACGACCTTGCGGTCGAGCGAGTACTCGTCCTTCTTCGAGCCAATGGTGCGTCGCAGGATGAGCTCCTTGCCGCCGGTCGGGAAGCGGTCGTCCGAGTTGTCAAAGATGATCTCGACGTAGGCCGACATGACGGCAGAGCCGGAGCCCTCGTGCAACAGGCCCTGGCGCTCCTCGCGGCTCATCTGATTATAGTTGTCGCTGAGAACGAACCGGATGGCCGCGAAAAAGTTGCTTTTGCCGGAGCCATTGCGGCCGACAATGACGTTGGTACCGGGGGAGAAGGGCTCAATGACTGTTTGGTCCTTGTAGCTGTGAACACAAGTCAGCGAGACGGGTCTCAGGTGGCTATCGGAGAGGGGTGAAGGAGGAGGGGGGGTAAAAGGCGCGAACCTCTTGAAGCCTTGAATGATGATCTGCTTGATGTACATGGTGGAGGTCGGCCGGCGCGCCTGAGGAGGCAGCCGATATCGAGCAGTCGCGTCAGTTGATGGGTGTGGTGATGTAGGCGCCGACTTGGTGGTCTGATTGCGGCTTCGTTATGGTGCGCTTGATGCGAAGTCTCTGGTGGATTGATAGGGTTGAGTGCGACGCGTCGGGGCGCGATGGACAGAGTCGCGAGCGCAGGCGCAGGCGCGTGGGTGAAGTTGGTGCGTGCGTAGTGGATGCAAATTGACTTCAGCGGGGTCGTACAGTAGATACACAGTTCGCCTACGGATCTTTACACAGTATACGGCTGGAGTCTGAACACGAAGACACCCATGAACAGAGCCTGTCATGGCGACTCGTACTCATCAATCATATCACTCGTATTACCGTGTCGGAAGGACATGGGCTGGTCCATCGACGGGTGACACGCAAAGCAGGGGTCGGGGCAGCTTCCTGATGGCTGGCTGAGTCAATGGAAACTCTCACCGCAGTGTGGCTTCCCATCGAGTTTGCATGCCCACATCATTCTACATAAAGCCTCGGTCCCCATCTTGTTGGGAAATGCACATGCAATCTACAAGCCATAGACGGTCTAACATTGATTCAGAAAATGCGAGCAGCTTCCAAGTATTGTCGAGCGGATGTAGATGGACGGATAGCTTTCCGCTTGTGCCTGATCGCCGCGGCGGGCCAATTTATCTGGCTCGATCAGCCGATCTATATGGGTAGGTTTGGGACTACCACAATGCATCAATCGTCAGCGTGGTTTCATCCGCCAGTTATCCTTGCTGGCATGGCTGGCAGAGGTGAGTGACCAAGTATATCGACACAGCCTCGTTTGCCGTGTTGTGGTGGTGATGTGTCTCCAATCACAATGGAAAGGCCTTTCCAGGGCTTCCGGTCCTTTTAGGACTGGCCGTTGACTCGGCCGTGTGGATCATGATCCAGAGCTTTGGGGTGCATGGACCACAAGACGACGTGCAGATCTGCGACCTGCCGCAGGTGCCGACATGAAATCATCATGTCGATGCCCGCTCACGAGGACGTGGAATAGTCCAAGAATTCTCTTTGTTCTTATTCAATCTTGTACTGATACGACTGGCATTCGGCGACCCATGCTCGACAGGTAGATGGAATGCCTGTCGGATGGGCCTGTCCTGATTGATGACAGGCGTTGGAATTCTGGGGGCCGAAGTGGTAGCAGGGCCAGAAAATTGACGTTCCGAGACTGATCCGCGATGGCGTGCCACTGGGCCGCACTGGGATGCCTTGAATGCCGCTTGGGGACAACCGGCGCTGCCCTGAACCCTCCTAGTGTGCGCCAAGCTTTCCCGTCCTCGACCCCACGCCGCTGGATGCCACGTACATCAGTCTGGTTTGACCACGGGTCTTGCTTCGAGCTCGCTGGGATGTGCACAGGTCGGCTGCATCTGGCTGCATCGTATACCGCGGACGACGGTCACCAGTACGGGTCGTTGTGCTTCTGAAAGTGTTGGCAAGGTAGTCCTGTCGCGGCGAGTGGTGGGAGCGTGCCTGCGAAGTACCTTTCAGCTGCAGAGATACATTGGGTGTCGGTAGGGCGGCACACAAAACCATCTTGCCGGGTCAGTCCGGAGCCAACGGATGTTCCAGCAGCACCCAAGGCAAGGCTGCAAACAGCCTATTGCAGCGCATGTGTCAGGCTGGCGAACCTGGACGGGTTGCACATGCAGGCAGGCGAATAGGCAGGCGAACAGGCAGGCAGATAGATGACTGCCTTCTGAACTCCGCAATAGTAATCTTGTGTGGGAACAGAACGCGATGTGACCAGGAAGCACCTGAGAAGCTGGAGGGGACAAGTGAGGGTCAGAGTTTGAATTGTTGCAGGTACCTTCGTCAGGGATGAGAGCCATGGTGCCCCTGGACCCAACCTCCACCATCTGCGATGAATGAGTGAGGTCAAGGAGCTCCACCTCGAAAAAAAGGGACAGGGCCGGGTCCCAGCAACGCAGGAGCCCCGTCGCCGATCATGCTCACCATCACGGCAGCCCCGTTGGCTGCAATGATGGGCGTAGCCATGCGACAGGCCAACACCCCCCGACTGCCCCATGTCGCGCCGCGATGCGATGCGATGTGGTGCGGTAGGTAGTGTCAGTCAGAAAGTCAGAGTTTGATGGACGATACCATGGGTGCATTGGAGTCACGGCTGATCGGATCGTGTCAGCTTCTGACGAATGTGCATCGACTGCTGGGGAAGAAGAGAAAAAAAAAGCAATTGCATAAGATGGTAGAAGGGGGGGGGGAGGGGGCCGTGAGATGGAAGAGAAAGATCAGAGAGAAGATTCAGGAAACGCAGGTGCTATTGTGATAGCAAGACCAGGCAGGCAGGCAGGCACAGGCGCAGGTACTGTACAGGCACAGGCAGACAGAGGCAGCATGTCCTGTCAAAGCCAGGCAAGGAAGGAAAAAGAGAGGCAAACCAACAAATGGCAGGTGGGCCTGGGGATGACGCTAGCCTGTTAAGCGAGAGCAGCCGCGGTGCACGTTGCGTGAAGGAACGTCCATTGGTCTTTGGACTGCTCCACGATCAAAAGTATAAAAATACTACCCAGATACCTGTGCCATATTTGACTGCTCCTCCACCCACCCCCCAAGTCCCGGCCACTTGCTGTCGCTCTTTTTCGCGACTGCTGCACCAATCCCCACCTGCTGGCAGCTGCACCCGACCCCGATTGCGACCACTCAACCGCGACATCACAACCCAGCTATAGCTATATTCATCCATCATCAAGGCTACGACGCTCGAAAGACAGACACATCGAGATCGCGCATCGAGAGGTTGCAAAAGTATCATTCCGGCCCAATACTTGCGACCACCAGTTTTTTTATGATAGGTAGCACTATGGTGCTACCTGCATGAGCGTGCTTGGCTTCCTCTCGCGACGCGACAATACCTGCTTGGTACTTTCGTTCAAACGACCACAAACTCAGGTAAGCCACCCTTTTCTGCATATCCCCGTTTGGCCCTTTTCATTCCTACCTCTGGCCTTTGCCATTGCCTACATACAACCTCAATATCTGCATATACCTGGTTATTACCATTCAATCCGCAACGCTCAGCATGAAGCTCACACATCGACACCAGGTAGCCTCATAGAATGAAGATTTTCTGAGTTCACTCAAAAGTCATCATGGCATCAAGGTATGTGCTTCTCTTCAACGGTTATCTCTATGCAGGCGCTAATCAGTAGCCAGACTCGACCGGATCGTCACGTGAGTTCATTCGCGTTCAATGCTCTCAGAAGCAACCCCCTCTTCATGAGGGTCCGCTTCTCCTTGCACCCAGAATCCTACCTTGGAATTCATCTAACACTTTCGCAGGATCCTTGAGACGGGAAGCACTCGTCTCATTCGTGACACGGCCGTGAGCCAACTTGCCGATTGGCAGAAGCAGCACCCAGACGAGCTCTTCAATCTTCTTTCTAGGGTCGTTCCGTATCTTCGTCATAAGGACTGGGAGACCAGGTCAACAGCAGCCAAGGCCATCGGCAAGATCGTTGAAAATGCTCCCTTTTACGATCCCAATGAGGACGAGGATGATGTTCCACCGCCAGCGCCCAAGGACGATGAAAATGGCGCGGTGAAGAAGGAGGAGGAGCAGGACTCGTCCTTCGCACAAGATGAGCTGTTCAAGCTGGACTCACTTAACCTCGACAACATTCTGAACTTTGGCCGCGAACTGGTCAGAGGTGGCTCCGTCGAGTACAATCTGGCGGCTTTGGACCCCCAATCTCGACTTGCTCACCAAAAGAAGACGTTGAACGGACGGCTCGGACTTCTAGGTCGGAGATTTGAGGACGAGGAGATGCCCATCGTTATTGAGAAGGATCCCAGTCCATCGACACCACACGATCACAGCAATGGTAACGGCCTGTCACGGAGCGACAGTAATTCTGCTGGGCAGGGCCAGTCCACAGAAGAGTCAGGCTTGAGCACACGACAACTTAACGTTCTGAAGCGCAAGCGGAAGCGAGAAGCCCAAAAGGCTGCCAAGGGTGGATTTGGTGATTTGTCCATACGGAGGACGGCCACTGCAGGCTCCGAAGGCCTGGCAGACGATACCCCTATGCCCGAGGCTGAATCAAAAAAGAGCGACTACTTCAGTCTAGAGCGACCCGCAGATGTTGACGAGGACACGAAGGTTGTCAGCGAGTTCAAAGGCCCCGTCTTGCCCATCAAGTCGGAGCTGGAAGCCGAGGACACCATGGAAGGCACAGAATGGCCCTACGACAGGTTGTGTGACTTTCTCAAGATTGACATATTTGATCCTACCTGGGAGACACGGCATGGAGCGGCCATGGGCCTTCGCGAGGTCATTCGAGTACATGGCGCAGGTGCTGGCAGGATGCGGGCCAAGTCGCGCCAGGAGAACGACAAGCTCAACAAAGCATGGCTCGATGACCTCGCTTGCAGGCTGGCTTCTGTGCTGATGCTCGACCGCTTCACAGATTACAGCTCGGACATGTCTGTTGCCCCCATTCGGGAATCTATCGGACAGACTATGGGTGCAGTGCTTCGCCACGTTCCGCCAGAGTGTGTGCATGATATTTACAAGGTCTTGTTCCGCATGGTCATGCAAACCGACCTAAGCGTCGGCAAGGTCTGGGCTGTTTGCCACGGAGGCATGGTTGGTCTGAGATATGTCGTCGCAGTCAGGAAAGACTTGCTTCTCGAGGACGGCGAGATGATTGACGGCGTCATATCTGCAGTCATGAAGGGTCTTCAGGACCAAGACGACGATGTGCGTTCCGTAAGCGCAGCCACACTACTACCCATGGCCCAGGAATTCGTCACCATGAGGCCTGCCGCCATCGATGGCCTCATCAACATTGTCTGGGGCAGTCTGCAGGATCTAGGTGACGACCTCAGCGCCAGCACAGGCAAGATTATGGATCTCCTTGCCACGCTGTGCAGCTTCCCCGAGGTGCTGCAGGCCATGCAAACATCCGCCGACACAGATGAGGAACGGACTTTCAACGTTCTTGTCCCCAGACTCTATCCTTTCCTCCGCCACACGATTACTTCAGTTCGACTTGCTGTTCTGAAGGCCCTGATGACCTTTATTGGATTGGAAAAGCAGCGCTCCAGTGGATGGCTCGGAGAGAAGCTTCTGCGACTCATCTTCCAGAACGTCTTAGTCGAGAGGGATAGAGAGACTCTCAAGATGTCCCTAGAGGTCTGGTCGTCACTCATCACATCTCTCGCCCAAAATCCTACAGAACTTGCCGACGCCGCGTCAGTCGAGCCCATGATGCAACTGGCTCTACACCCCATTGGCGTGTCTCGCAATCCTATTCCCATGAACGCCACGCTCTTCCAGAAACCCTCAGGTGGCACATATACTAATGCCGCTATGCCCGTGGCTCCAGTCAGGAAAGCGGCCTCGCCAGACGGAGAACGGGCATCTAAGCGTCGGCGGAAGTCCACCAAGGTCGACGACGCTCCTGTTGCCACTCATACTCACGACGTCGACGGCCACATGATGCAAGGTGATGTCGACCTTGTTGGCATGGATACCTTGATCCGGTCGAGAATGTCAGCTGCAAAGGCCATAGGCTTACTCATGGCGCACATTCCTGTCGACAGGCTTGCCGAATACGAGCAACATATTCTGCCTGCTCTTGCTTCGCCCTACTCGTCGACAGAGCTCACGGCATGCGTTGTCATTGAGGAATACGCAAAGAACTGTGCTGGCGAGGTCTCGCCACGCTTCACCAAGCCAGTGCAGAGCATTATCGAAACGGAACGACCCTCCCACTACAGGGATCTAGTCAGCTACATGCACCGTGTGCGGTCTCAATGCTCACAACTGCTTAACATGTTTAGAGATCATGGCAAAGTTTCGAGCAGCAAGCTGCCCACCCTTGCTGTCGTCGTGCAGGGCGAGGCAGAGGCTGGACCTGGCGCGTTCTCGGTCGCCGTGGCCGAGAAGGTCGTCAACGAGGACTTCGATAAACTCAAGAAGGCCATGTCACCCGGCCAGCGTCTTGTTGCAAGTCAGATGCTGGCTGAGTCCCGAGACGTCACGGCCACAGCTATTGCGGATGCAAAGTCAGCAAAGGACGCCAGGGATGTGCGTGTCAAGGCTGCCGCTGCCTGCGCACTTGTCGCCATCAAGGCGCTGCCGAAGAAACCTAGCCCCCTCATCAAGGGCGTCATGGACAGCATCAAGACCGAGGAAAACCAAGAGCTTCAAAGCCGTTCTGCCAACACAATCGCAAGACTCAATTCAGCTTTTCACGAGATGGACGCAGGGCCCTGCTGAGAAGGTCGTATCGATCTCGTCAAGTCTCCTGCGTTGAGGTTGCCGAAACTCCCGATTTCCCGTACACGCAGCCAAGACGAATTGCATTCTTGTCAATGCAGAAGGAGGAAGATAGGGTTGACCATCCTGACGCCGCGAAATGGGCGAGGGAAGCCAAGGCAGCACGCATCACGCGGCGCGGTGCTAAGGAGGCTCTCGAAATCCTGTCTAGGAACTACAGCGCCGATCTGCTCAATACCGTGCCTGTCTTGAGGGTGTTTATGGAGGAGCCTCTTGTCAAGGCCTTCTCGGGCGATCTGCCCGCCGAAGCAAAGAATGCTGAAGAGACTTTTGGCCAGGAGATTGTGGACGCCATGTCCCTCATCCGAACCCTCATGCCAACTATGGACAAGGCGATTCATCCCTTCGTCATGGACATGGTGCCCCTGGTCATCAAGGCGCTGCATTCCGAGCTCTCCGTCTTCCGCTACATGGCAGCCAAGTGCATGGCCACGATCTGCAGCGTTATGACGGTCGAGGGCATGACCGCGCTTGTGGAAAAGGTCTTGCCCTCGATCAGCAACCCTATCGACCTCAACTTCAGACAAGGCGCGATCGAAGCAATCTACCACTTGATTGCTGTCATGGGCGACGCCATTCTGCCATATACCATCTTCCTCATCGTGCCCGTCCTGGGCCGCATGAGTGATTCGGACAATGAGATTCGTCTCATCGCAACCACATCGTTCGCTACACTAGTCAAGCTTGTGCCTCTCGAGGCTGGTATTCCGGACCCGCCAGGGCTGTCGGAGGAGCTACTCAAAGGACGAGATCGAGAGCGTACATTCATCTCCCAGCTTCTCGATCCCAAGAAGGTGGAGCCGTTCAAGATCCCAGTTGCCATCAAAGCTGAGCTGCGCTCTTACCAGCAAGATGGTGTCAACTGGCTCAACTTTTTGAACAAGTATCATCTGCACGGTATTCTCTGTGACGACATGGGTCTCGGCAAAACGCTTCAAACCATCTGCATGGTTTCCAGCGACCACCACCAGCGCGCTGAAGAGTTTGCGAAGACTGGCGCCCCCGATGTTCGGCGACTCCCTTCGTTGATCGTTTGTCCGCCTACCCTTTCGGGTCATTGGTCACAGGAGCTGCGGACCTACGCGCCCTTCCTGACCGTGACAGCATACGTCGGCCCGCCTAGCGAGAGGAAGGCTCTGAAGGACTCGCTCGACAAGACGGACATTGTCATCACCAGCTACGACGTGTGTCGCAACGATGTCGACATCTTGGCGCAGTACAACTGGAACTACATCGTCCTTGATGAAGGCCACCTCATCAAGAATCCCAAGGCTAAGATCACCATGGCAGTCAAGCGGTTCCCCAGCAACCACCGATTGATTCTGACGGGAACACCCATTCAAAACAACGTTCTCGAGCTTTGGTCCCTGTTTGACTTTTTGATGCCGGGGTTCTTGGGCGCGGAAAAGGTCTTCCTCGACCGATTCGCCAAACCCATCGCCGCGAGTCGCTTTAGTAAAGCTTCATCGAAAGAACAGGAAGCGGGTGCGCTGGCCATTGAGGCCCTGCACAAGCAGGTGTTGCCCTTCCTATTGCGACGTCTCAAGGAGGAAGTGCTCAACGACCTGCCGCCCAAGATTCTGCAAAACTACTATTGCGACATGAGCGATCTGCAGAGGAAACTCTTTGACGACTTTACCAGAAAGCAAGGCAAGAAGCTCCAGGAAGAAGCCGGCAAGGATGACAAAGAAGCCAAGTCACACATCTTCCAAGCTTTGCAGTACATGCGCAAACTCTGCAACTCGCCAGCTTTGGTCATGAAGCCAGGTCACAACCTCTACGACGACACGCAGCGTCTGCTGAACAAGCAGGGCACCAGCCTCGAGGACCCAGCTCACGCACCGAAGCTGACGGCTCTACGCGACCTGCTTGTGGACTGTGGTATTGGCGTCGAGGGAGCCGAGTCAAACGATCCGTTGTACCAACCCATCAAACCGCATCGTGCACTGGTGTTCTGTCAGATGAAGGAGATGTTGGACATGGTCCAGAATACGGTTCTCAAGAGCATGCTGCCCAGCGTGTCCTTCCTCCGACTGGATGGTGGCGTCGAGGCCAACAAGCGACAGGCGATTGTCAACAAGTTCAACCAAGACCCCTCGTACGACGTCCTTCTCTTGACGACGAGCGTTGGCGGCCTGGGTCTCAATCTGACAGGTGCTGACACTGTCATCTTCGTGGAGCATGATTGGAACCCTCAGAAGGATTTGCAGGCCATGGATCGCGCCCACCGAATCGGTCAGAAAAAGGTCGTCAACGTGTATCGTCTCATCACCCGCGGTACGCTTGAGGAGAAGATCTTGAGTCTGCAACGGTTCAAGATTGACGTGGCGTCGACAGTCGTCAACCAGCAGAACGCAGGCCTGTCGACGATGGACACGGATCAGATTCTCGATCTGTTCAACATGGGCGACACCGGGCCAGGTCTCATCAGCGACAAGCCGAACCCGATGGAAGGACGAGAAGAGGACATGGTGGACGTGGAGACGGGTGATGTGATCACAAATAAGCCGGGCGGCAAGAAGGCCTGGATGGACGATCTGGACGATCTCTGGGACAACCGCCAGTACGAAGAGAGCTTCGACCTGGACGGCTTCCTAAAGACGATGCAGTAGGACATGGCTCGACGGTACGGCGAGGGACACCAGTCTTGCCGGGAAAGGAAAGGAAAGGAAAGGAAAGGATGAATGGAGTTTTCTGGGGTCAGGGGCCCGTGTTCGTGGAGAACCAAAGGGTCGGCGCTGTTGCTCCTAGCTCTGCTTGAGAGGGATTGATTGCTTTTGATTGTTGGCGTGGCTATTGTATGTACCAACTGTAACAATGGACGGGAACGGGGTGGTGGCGAGCGATATTTTTGACACATCCGTGGACGATGCTTAGCATGGCTTATATCAATTAACGTAATGATGCGAGAGCTGCTCGCAAAACATGGGAGATGAAACCGGACCACTGCGTCTCGTTGATTTGCACCTTGACATTCACAGGTCTCAAGTGCTTCAATGTGAAGAACTGGGTTGCGATAAGATAAAGGTAGTGGTGGGGTACGAGCCTCACTGCCTGCTCTGCCGTCACAGTACCCCGCTATGGGTTTTGGGAGGTGCCGACCGAGAACCTTCCATGACGGCTCCTCCTCTTGACATATCTCTACCGAGACCACGAGGTCGAACTCATCACGAACAAAGAATCGAGCAAACCCGCGAATATGCCCGTCGACTACAGCAAATGGGTAAGTGCCTTTCTCTCCATTCCACGGCCCTCCCCCAGGCTTTCCGACGGCAAACTGACGGAGCCCCCCTCGTGGTGCAGGACGCGCTGGAGCTCAGCGACGACTCGGACATTGAAGTGCACCCCAACGTCGACAAGCGGTCCTTCATCCGCGCCAAGCAGAACCAGATCCACCAGGAGCGGCAGCAGCGCAAGCACCAGATCGAGACGCTCAAGTATGAGCGCGTCATCAACGAGGGGCTGATGCGGCGCATCTCGGCCCTGCTGTCGGCGCTCAAGGCGCACGCCGCCGTGGCCGAGACGCGCAACCCGGGCGAGGTGGCGTTCCAGGCCGTCCTGGAGTCGGCGGGGCGGCCCGAGGACGACCAGCCGCCGCCGCGGCCCGCCGGCGTGCACACCGAGTCGGAGCCGCTGCCGTCGTACTCCAAGATGATGGCGACGCTGCTCGACCAGGTCAGCAAGAGCCTCGACGAGCGCGGGCTCGCGGACAACCGGTACCAGGGCATGATTGACGGCATCG